AGGGTTCTGGGTTTAGGGTTTCGGGCTAGGTCCAGGGTTTGGAGCTTCAAGTTTAGGATGAGCTTCGGGTCCGAAGACAGGGCCTGGGAAGGAGGGGAGAGGTTTGGGTATTTCAGGGCCCGGTGTTTGAGTTCTAGGGGTTTAGGTCATACAGTCCCCCTAAAGTAGATAGAATATGGGGTATATGGGGATCATATTTTCATATACCCCAAAGCCATCTTCCATCTACTTAAGGGGGACTATAAGTTTTAGTGGTTGCGTTTAGGAAGGTTTCCAAAAAAGGGGGGGTCCCCTTTTTGGGGTCCCCAGAGCTTGGATGATACTATTCTGCGGTTTAGGGGTTCAGGGGTTCAGGGTTTAGGTCCCTGCTTTGGGAACCTCCTATCCTGAGTAAGGGGCATTAGCCCTGTGATCATAACGCCAAACCCTAGACCCCGCAAAACCCTTTGAAACTAAAACCCAAGCAAACCCTAGACCCTAAACCCGACCAAACCCCATACCCTACTAAACCCAAAACTCTACTAAACCCTAAAACCTACTAAACTCTAAACCCTACTAAACCCTAACCCGACTGAACCCCAAATCTTACTAAACTCTAGACTCTGTGTGCACACATGCTTAAGATTTAGATTCTGGGCTGAAAGCTTAGGCTTTCTGGGCGTGGGGCCTGCGGTTTAAGTATCAGGTTTTAGGGTTTAGGGGTTTAGGGTTTTAGTCTTTCGGGCTTAGGGTTGAGGGCCATCAGCATCTTCCCCAGCAGTGCCGGTCAAATGAAGGATTTGAAGCTCAACCTACTTGTAGCTACCCATGAACCTTCAACTGGCTCTGAACCCTAAGCCCTGGGTCCTGTTGATGCACTTCTAGGCTTATAGAAATCGTGGCTTGAAATCTGTATTGGCTTCAGCTAGGCATGAGAATAGAATCACAACAACCCAGATACCCTAGCCTGCACCCAAACACCTCAACCGCACACCACACCCCAAAGCCCTGTAGATCCTTACGTGGTGGTTTCCCAAAGCAGGGAACCCTATTATAAACCCCAATATACTATCCTTATTTTAGGGACCCCCAAAAAGCTACCCCTAGCCTAATTTTGGGAAACCCCCACATATCCCTCAATGTCCTCCAAACCCCTTAAAGCCTGGGCCCTGCACTGAAACTCCTAAGCCTGCCTCCAAACGAACATGGAACCTCTTATACTTCCTTTTTCGAGGAAGAACAACTATCAAGAATCTATGTAGAGCCCCTTTGAGGCTCCGTATTAGTTTCGGGGGTGTAAACCTTCTGACAAAAAACCCTGACACCCCAGACCCTTAACCCTAAGCCCATGAAACCATAAGCCCTAAACCCAAACTGCTAAACCTGGAGCCTACCCACTTCTACCTACCTCCGAGCCTCCAAACGATCCTTTAAACCCCAAGCCCTAAACCCAAACCCCTGCCTTCCCCCAAACCTAACATGCTCCCAACAGTGGACCTTGAATACGATAGTCCCCCTTACATAGATAGAATATGGGGTATATGGGGATCTTATTATCATATACCCAAAGCCATATTCTATCTACTTAAAGGGGACTATACGTTGCTTATACAAATGGGCATATGGGGTTCAGTCTTCGCTTGGGGGATGGTAAACCTTTGGCCGAAAGTCTGTGGTGATCGGGCTGCGTGTGAAGTGAGCGTTCAGCAGGAGCTGTGCCTGCGGATGACACGGGAAGGGGTTTAGGGGTTTGGGTTTTGAGGATTTGAGTTAACGGTAGGTTGTCAAAACTATGGCCTCTACTGGGGTCCCCTGCATCGTGCGGCCCCGAAAAAATAGGGAAGACAAAAACGGATCAGAATTTGACAACCCCCCTTACGTTCCCGATGTGACCTATACACTTACGCACAAGAGAGCCATATCTTCTAGGAACTCATGATGGGAATTTGTCTTAGACACTGCTGCAGCTTGCCGGTGTCCAAGCGGGAGTTGGGGAGTGAACATAAGTATGTTAATTCAGGTATATGGGTGGTTCTCAAAATTATGATTCCTGTTTGGGTACCTTAAATATTAGGTGCCGTATTATAATAAGGATCCAAAAAAAGGACCATAATTTGGACAACCACCCATATGAGCTATAGCGAATATTTCCTTACGTAGTTAATGGGCATGGGCGCTTCTAAGAGACTAGATTAGAGACTATACTAGACTACCAAAGGGACCCCTAAACCCTAAACCCCTAAACCATAAACCCTTAATGGTCCCGTGGTTAACAGTAGCTCATATGGATACTGATGTGGATTCGCTCCGCCACTCCCCCTCAAGCACCGGTAACGTAGAGTTTAGGGTTTAAGGGTCTTAGGGCTTAGGGTTTTAGGGGATTAGGGTTTAGGGTTTATGGTTTAAGGGTTTAGGGTTTAGGGTTTTAGGGGATTATAGGGCTTAGCGACACGTCCATGCAGGGTTTATGCATCGGATTCTCGCAAGGGGTGGCATGGGGCACTGCCAGAACAAGCTCTTCTGGAGACACACAGGACACACAGCTGTTGTAAAGATTTAGCAGGCTCCTTGATTTGCATCCTCCAGCCCCGAACCCTAAACCCTAAGCCACAGAAAATAAAAACCAATATAACCCCAATATATCCCCTATATACCCTATTATACTATAGTAGTTTCCATTTTATTTTCCATTATCCCTATGTAAACCCAATATAACCCCAATAGACCCTAAACCCCAAACCCTAAACCCTAAACCCCTAAACCCCAAAACCCCCCATCACCTTGGTGTGAGGGTCGTTCAGCTTGTCCTTGTCGACCTTCATGCCGAGCTGCTGCGCCAAGCCATACCTTGGAGGGGGTTATGGTTTAGGGTTTAGGGTTTAGGGTTTAGGGTGTAGGGTTTAGGGTGTTGGGGCTATAATTCCCCTTAAGTGGATAGAATATGGGCTATATGGGGGTCTTACTTTAACATACCCAAAGCCATATTCTATCTACTTAAGGAGGAGTATAGATCTTGATAGTTTAGGCTTTAGGGTTTAGAGCTTAGGGTTTAGTGTACACCCCTGATTAATAAACCCTCTCCCCTTAATAGGGATTATAGTAGGGATCCTAATATTAAGGCCCTTCAAAGGAAGAGGTTTAATCATCGTGGGTCTACGTCAGGGTTTCGGGTTGGGGGCTCAAGGCATGGGGCATGGGGTGAAGGGCGTAGGGTGTAGGCCTTGGTTTTTTGTGTTGCGTCGCGCCTTGTCTCCCATGAATGAAGATGTCCGATGAATAGGGTTTAGGGATTAGAGCTTGGACCCTAAACCCTAAACCCGTTCAGGGTTTCGGGCTTAGGGTTTAAGGCGTGGGATCCGTAGTCTAAGGGTGACGTTACACCCCGTGAGACCTTCAGGCTTTGAAATTCGGAGGAACTAGCGGCCACTGATTCTGGAGTTCTTTCGGTTGTAAAGTATGGTTCAGGGGTTAGGGCCAGGGTTGTGGCTTTCAAATTCCAAAAAAGATCTCCCCAAGGGAGCAATAGAAGCTTTTTTAGGAAATTCGCTACACCTACACGCAAAATCCTTACGTAACTTCATATGTATATGTATCACACCCTAAGCCCTTAAAAAAGAATATGTATATATATATATGTGTATACACACTACAGAATCCCACACACAAACTCCCCTTGCCCCATAAACAAAAAACAATGATCCTCAAGTTACCCCTTTAAAAGGCTTCCTGAACCCTTCAACCTACTACACACTGACCCCTAAAGCTAAAACAATGCTGCCCAAATCGGTTCCCAGCGGCAGCGTGGCCTCTTCGCCCGAGCGCACGGGCACCGCGTCGAACTCGGAGGCAGCGCAGAGGATGTCCAAAAGGCCCTTGCGCTTGGTGTTCTCCTGGGCTTTAGGCTTAGGTCTCTGGGTCCCTTGTTGAAAGGGATAGATGGGGATGTATACGGTTTAGGGTTTAGAGCTTAGAGCTGGGAGTTCAAGGATTAGGGTGAAGGGTTTACGGTCCCTTACTTAGGGGGTCAGGGGGACGTAGTGAGTATACCTATAACCCTATAGTCCCAAAAGTAACCCCGGTTGTCCCTGTTATTAACCCACTTACCAAATCGCCCTGACCCTCCAAGTGGGACCCCTTCAAGGCGTATACAGGGATATATGAGCTATAGTCTAAACTTCTAATATCCCCCTTAATAACGTCTAAAGTAGTCCCCTATATATTCCCAGATAAAATCCCCTTTAAACAGTCTAGACCATAGCTCATATAGCGGGTGTTGTAGGGATTAAGGTTCGGGGCTTGGGGTTACGGTCATCCCCCTGGACTGAAAATACAAAATACTATCGTTCATAATTCCTTGGGATTATAGGGTTTAGAGTTTTGGGTTTAGAGTTTAGGGTTCAGAGTTTAGGGTCTAGGGTTAATAGGGTTTGGAGTTTAGGGTCTAGAGTTTAGGGTTCCTCAAAAGACTACAGATTCATGGGTTTTTGGGCTCTTTCCCAAGCTCTCTGGGTCTGCTCCTCGGCTCCGCATTGGCATCTTCGGGTCCGTTCGATGGAGTTAAGGAGATATTTGGGGATTTCCCAAAAAGAAGGGTACCTTTTTAGGGGTCCCCATATTAAGGACTAGAATATATTTGGGTCTATATTGGGGTCCCCCTATTTTGGGACACTACCATCTTAATAAGAAAGGAAAAATGGAAGCCACTGTAGCATTTAGGGTTTAGGGCTGAGGAAAACGTGCGGGCGTGGATGGTCAGGGGTTCTTCCAGGAGTTATGGAAGCTACCATATACTTGCTAAATACCCATACCATGATCTCTACATGAACCCAACCGCTATGCAACACCCCCTATACAAACCCTACGTCGCTGACTCCCTCAGTCGTTTGGCTCTAAGGCTTCATCCTAAACCTTTTCAAATCCTAAACCCTCACTTTAAATCCGCAACCCCAAGTACCCTCTGTCGACCCCAAGTTTGGACCTACACAGACCCTATTTAAGGGCATTCGCAGGTCTAGGTAGACCCTAAGCTCTACACCCAAACCCTAAACCCTGAACCTAAACGAAGTTTCGTTGACGCAGCGCGAGAAGGTCTCGATGGTGGTGTGCCGGATGTAGTAGTACGCACCTGCGCTCTCACCCTGCAACCTACACCCCCAGGTTTATGATTCTGGGTTTAGGGCTTGGGGGAAACCATATGGGTTTTGGGGTTAAGGTTTAAGGCTTAATTTGAGTTGTAGCCTAAACTCCTAGTATCCCCCTTAATGGCCCCTTCAAGACTCCCTTATATAACCCCTATATAACACCCCTGAAAGGAGTTTAGATTATGGTTTACTTAGGGTCAATAGTTCAGGGGCTGAGGGTTGAGGGTCGAGGCTGTAAGGCTATCCCGAAAGACTGAAAACCCAGATCCCAAATTCCTACATCCCAATCCCCTAACAGCAAATCCCTACATCCCTGAATCCTAAAACCCGAATACTCAGCACCAGCAAACCTAAACCTGAACACCCTACATCTCTGAACCATAACTCCTGAACCCTAGACCCTGAAACCCAAAACCCTGAACCGTGTAAACCCTGCCTTGTAGCCAAACGACAAGACATGAAATGGCTGCTCCCAAACAACCACTTTTGCAGATTCGGGTCTCTACCTAGGAGGTGGTTTTGGGGAAGCCCTAAACCCCTACTCAACCCTGATCCCAAATCCCTAGACCCCAACCTCCCTAAAACCCTAAACCCCTAGACCCGAAGCCATACACCCTCCATCCCAGACCCCCTAAAGGATCCAAAAAAATGGAACCCCTTAATGATACCCTAGTTTCCCCAATGTAGTAATGGGTACATATTGCGGGGGGGGGGTCCATTTTTTGGATCCTTTAGGGTGTCTGGCATAGGGTTTAAGGCTTAGAAGCCCTAAACCCTAAACCATAAACCCCAAACCCTAAGCCCTAAACTCTAAACCCTAAACCCTAAACCATAAACCACAAACCCTAAGCCCTAAACCCTGAACCCCTAAAACCCTAAAACCCCAAACCCTGAGCCCCAGGGTTTGGCTTAGGAAACGCTGAGGCAGGTGCCAATGAGACCAAGGTTGGCGGGCGCCAGGTCCACATCGTCCTGAAAAAGGCTCGGTGGGAAGCTCGGTACTAGTAAACAGGGTTATATAGGGGTTAAATAGG